AGGAAGTTTGTTTTCTATCTTGTAAATTATTTACTGTTAAAATGCTTCATCTATTTCCGTAAATTAAAAAAAAAAAGCATGCCTGTGTGCACATGCAGAAAATAAAAAGAGGATGTTCTAGCTATTTTTAACAAATTTATCCAGCCTAGACATTCACTAAGCAAGAACAAGCCCTTCCAAGTTGCCAGTTTTAATTCTTTGATGTCAAAGAAGCATAGGATTCCTTGGCTTAGCACAAATCCAAATGTATAGGGAAACTGAAAAAATTAATTAGAGGGACGTGATGGGGAACTGGCTTTTAGTAAACATGGCATAGACTGCAGTACTGGCTCAAAAAAAGTTTACAAAAGTGATTAAAACTGCTGTCATTCCATTACCAGAGTTGGTCTCTGGGCTTTGATGGAATTTACTGTTGAGAGTCCTTCTTTCACCAGGCTTCCTATTTTTAAAGCTTTCACTCAATTGTAAACAGACTTTCGAGCAATAGAATAGAACATAAAGCTGTGGGGAAAAAATAACCTTAGTTTTTACCTTTGTTTACAAACCAATGCAAGCACAGGTATGTTTTTCAATGTTGGTTTTCTTATTATTCAGGTATGGTGGAGCCAACAGATCAAGAGACGGTTGCCATTGAAAAGAGTTTGTTGTCCTCACAGCTTGCAAGAGAAAGGGCATGCCAGGCCATGGAGGGCCAAAGCAGGTTGTTCAGGAGACAGAAAGAATGGGAGAAAAACGTGGGCGAGAGCCTTTTTTTCGTGGTTTCCCCAAGATGCAATGGGCAGGATAGGGTAAATGGGCTTACCTGGCTGGTTTGAATCATTGTAGTGGACTCTGGGGCTTAAGGAGCGTCTCCAATTGTCTGGTACCTGGCCCTGTGGAGATTAGGGCAGAGGAACAGTGAAGTATTTTCTGTAAGAACTCTGTGAAGAAGGTGGTTAAGGGTGGGGCTCTGGATTGTCGGTTTGCGTAGGAAAGGCAGGCTTCCTGGGAGGGGCCAACTCTAGGATCGGCATGGCCCCAAGATGTCAACAAATCAAAAAACTGGAAAATAAAAAAATATGATCAATAGATGTTGATAAAGATGCGAGAATAACTATGCTTTTCAAGGTTTCCTGGGTGACTTTTACATTAATATTTTGTTTAATGACAAGCTTAGAGAGCCTTCCTTAGATGGGCCAACCTTTTAATATGTTTTTGGGGGCTGTATTGGGTACAGTAATTGAGAAGTCCTTCCCTCACTCATTTCAGGCAAGAAAGAGGGGATATGTGAAGCTTTTAAAAGGTGTTTGGATCTACTCTGCTAATTCTTTGTTGGTCTATAAAAGCCAATCGGTCATTTCCCCCCTTTTCCTCTTTAGGCTGTTTCATATGTTGGTGTGGAATTTTAGACTGGATGCCGCTGCTTTTGTGTTTGCACATTTGCTTGTTTATGCAACTTTATTTTGGTGTTTCAGTTGCCAAGGACTCTCTTGAAAGCCTTTCACAGTGTTTTACATTTACTGCATTACTGCAGCCAGAAATTTGGTTCTTTTCTGAAGATTCAAGGAGTTGCATTGTTGCTACCTAACCTGTATTTTCATTTTGGTGGGGGAAGTCGGCATCCTGCTTTTTCTCTTTTGGTTCTCTTGTGTTAGAGGTTAAAAGAATTGTTTTTAGAAAGCCACCTTTATACGCCCGTGCTCCTGCTCGGTTGCTCGATCGTATCTGACTCTGCGACTCTGTGACTCTGTGGACTGTGGTCTGCCAGCCTCCTCTGTCCATGAGATTTCCTGCAAGAATACTGGAGTGGATTGCCATTTCCTCCTCCAGGGAATCTTCCCAACCCAGGGATCAAACCCGCATCTCCTGTGTCGCAGGTAGATTCTTTACCACTGAGCCACTGGGGAAGCCCCTTCACCTTTATATCTTTAGATATCTTCACCGTATATCTTAAGATATATGCTGTATATCTATTCCTTGTATTTTAATGCTGCCCTCTCGTTTACTGTGGCCTAAAGTTTAGTTTAATCATCTGCTTAGATTTACTATTTTTAACTGATGTTTTTGCTCTTTTGGTCACTATTTTTTTTTTTTTTTCATTTCTTAACGACTCCACGTTTGTCTTCAGCATCCTTGTGTAGCTGCCTTCATCTTCTGCCCAGACTTCTGCAACCATCCAGTAACTGGCCTCCCTCCAGTCTGTCCTCCATGCTGAAGTGGAAATTGGTCTGTCCGATAACTCAAACGCGATCCGTTTCTTCACATCTCCCTTAGAAGAACATGGTCAGGAAGGCCCTGCGTGGCCCAGCGCCCCCCACCCCTCTGATTGCATCTCAAACCATCATCCTCCAACTGGTGTCAGCTGGGCGGTCATACCAGCTTCCTCTCTGCCTGTCCACGGCACCCTGATCCCCCCAGCTTGCTCTGTCTGGGGTGTTTTCCACTTCCTCCCCGACTGTCCTGGGCCAAGATAACATACATTGAGCTTTCAGACCCAGCTTGGGGGTCTCTTCCTCGGAAAAGCCTTCTCGAATTCCCCAGTTGTTGCTGTTTGTCAGACACTCAGTCATGTCCGACTCTTTTGCGACCCCATGGACTGTAGCCCGCCAGGCTCCTCTGTCCATGGGATTCTCCAGGCAAGAATACTGGAGTGGGTTGCCATTTCCTTCTCCAGGGGATCTTCCCAACTCAGGGATTGAACCCGAGTCTCCTGCCTTGGCAGGAGAGTTCTTTACCGCTGAGCCACCAGGGAAACCCCAGCTCTCCCGTGGAGGAGGTTATTTAGCGTATGCTGTGATGGAAGCATGTCTTGTTTTGAGGCACATCTCAGTTTGCAGTCACGGACGAGGTGATGTCTCATTTGATGACTGACTCGCACCTTAGCCTGTGACCTTTGGGAGGGAGGGGCTGTCCCTCTGGTTACCATCGTCCCCAGCCCCCGATGGCTTCCCTTGCATTGTGGGCAGCTGGTCCTCAGTTGTTGGCCGAGTGTGGAGAGACGGCTGAGGTCCGGATGACAGCGGTTGGCCTGAGAGTGTCCATATTCTGCTGGTGCTGAAGCTCTCGGATCTCCGTGTCCAGGGCTCTGCCCTCCTGCCTGCAGACCCTTCCTTTCCGTCTGTGGCCCTGGTTCCCCCACTTTACTCCATGGTTTTGAAAAGCCACTGGAAAACTTGTTTTGTTGAAGGGAAATCTGTTCATGTACATGGGTCAGGACAGGATGACTCTTCTTTATTCCTCTGGAAGATCACTAATAAACTTTTACCTTGAAATCCCCGACTTCATCTTGCCTATTCAGTCTTTCCTACTGTGCTGCTGAGCAAATGTTTTTTAAAATCAGGCAGAACTTTCTGACCTACTGGCACACACTTCTCTTCCCCTTCCCCGGGTATCCCGCTTCTGCACAAGAGCACTTTCTGCCCTCTTCTCACCATATCCTGTCCTTTGGTTCAGGACACAAAACTCCTTCACCTCCCAAAGCGAACACCGCTCCATAGTTTCCCCACTCACCTCTAACCCTTGTCCTTCCATACAGCCTTCCTGCCCTCACTTCTGGGGGCTATAGATTTATATACATCCATCTTCTTATTAATATAATCTCAGTAAGCTGTCTGCCAAGGTTAACCTTTATTTTTCCTTCTCACACCACTGAATTTATTGTAATCTAAGGGAGGGCGTTACAATACATTTTTAAAATAATAAGTTTCAAAATGGATAATCAGGGATTTTCAGTCCTGATATGCTTGAGAATAACCCAGAGAGCTTTTTATTGTCATATAGTTGTCAGGTCCCAGGCTGGCAGCAGGGAGGGCATCACTGTCTTTCCAGACTGGCAGAGTGACTTGGTGAAGATCGGACAGTTAGTGGGTAACAGAGTTCAATCACAATTCTTGTTTCCTTGGTTTCTTTCTAGTTCTTACTCATATATATATATATTTTTACATTAAATTCTATTGAGAGTTGTGTGTGTTTAATTCATCTGTATCTAAATTTATCTGCATAAAATTGTTTTCTTATTTTATAACCGGTATTTCCCGCCACCCCCCCATGACTGTGTAACCAAAGCATGCAAAGAATCTTGAGCTGACCAGAGGGACCACAGCCACGTCTCACCTCCTCCTCTCCGTGTTTCCTGGATGTCAGCGCTGGAATAGCTTTGTTTCCTTTATAGCCTCCCGCCAATCCCCCCGTCCTGCCTGGAGCCGCGGGCCTGCCCTGGGTGCCGCCCCTCCCTTCCCCACTCGGGGCTCTGTTCCCGCTTGACTTGCCCTCCATCACACCACTGATCCGAGGAAATGTCCCCTCTTCCCTCCCCCAGCCCCCACCTGCCTGAGCGGTTGGCTCCGGTGAGGGGCTGGGTCCTCGTAGAGGGGCGTTTGGGAACTGAACTGTTCCTTCATTCCTTGCTGGGATCCGAGAGAGGTGGGTGGGTGTCCCACGGAGGTCTCTCCCCACCCCCTCAAGTCTGTCCTCGGGAACTTGGGTACCAATCCAGGGAGCTTTAGAAGAGGTGTTTTCATACCATTTTTTAATAGTTGAGAAGCAACTAAATTCTCAATAAGACAATAAGACGTGATCCGCATGAACTAGGTAATTAAAAGAGGAATCCCTTTTGGGGAATCCCTTTCTGAGGAAAGGTCACACTCTGGAAGATGCCATGTCGTCTGAGTTAAACCAAGGATGGAGGCAGCCTTTCTGGCTTCGAATCCTAGGTCCTCTTCCCTGGGTGGTTCTGATCGGTGGTGGAGCTGCTCTGTGGTAGTTTCTTCAACCATATATTGTGGTTAAATAAAGTGAAATAAAAATGCCTGCATCATAGGTAATTTGATTGTCTTGAAGGTGAAATAATCAGATTATGATGCTGATCATAGTAGCTGTCCACTGGTATCATTAGTTTACATTAGTCAAGTGATTTACAGAAGCTTTCCCATACGTTATATTTTAGCACATCTTAAAATATGCTTTTTAAAAAATTGTCTTTATTACTGACTCACACCTGCTTCTCTGTGTTTGACTTTCAGCCCTGGAAAGGAAAATATCCATGAGGCAAAGCAGAGAGGAGCTGATAAAACGAGGGGTCTTGAAGGAAATCTATGATAAAGGTAAGGGGACCACTCCAGGCTCTGCGGGCCAGAAAGAAGCCATGCTTGGAATCTGTGTGTATTTCTCAGAGTAGGATTTCATTCTCTGCATTGCTTTATCAGAGTTTGAATCTGTAAAACTCCAGACAGTTCTGGAGAGATCAGAGAATGGAGCTGACAGCGCTGAAGTGATGGGTATTGTCGCGAAGGTGAACCCTCCCTTTTTCTCAGCTTTGTAATCAAACCACAGGATGCTAAGAAAAGTGATGGGGCCCCAGGAGTGGTGTCAGTACTGGTGGTGAGCCTGTTGGTATCTGAACACACACAGCTGGGGTGAATTTAATTGCTTCGGTTCTTTCAGGCACTAGGGAGTCCCAAGACAAATGTTAAAAATCCACAAGCATCTAGAATATCCCGAACAGCTTTTTTTGGGCAGTCCATCTCCCAGCAGTAGGAGAATCAAGGTGGAGAAAATGATAAAATATAAATGTACACGTAAGAGATTTCAAATGGTACTATTACAGTGATTACAAATGCTCTGTGAATGTGTCCACAAGTGTTAGCCAGTGATTTATCACGTGTCTTTTGCTGGTTGAACTACTGCCTTTAAATACAAAGGTATACAGTGGTTTACACAGCGTATTAACTAGTCATCACCGGCCCCCCACCAACCCTCATCCTTCCTCTCCACCCTTCCCCTCTTCACCCTTCACTTAAAGCTTCACGAGAACTGTTGTTTAGTCTCTGTGCTGCGTTTAGTCGCTCAGTTGTGTCTGACTCTTTGCGACCCCATGGACTGATGCCCACCAGGTCCCTCTGTTGGATTTCCTAGGCAAGAATACTGGAGCGGGTTGCTATTTCCTTCTCCCGGGTATCCTCCCAACCCAGGAATCAAACCTGCATCTCCTTGCATTGGCAAGTAGATTCTTTACCTCTGAGCCACCAGGGACGTCCTTTATGAGAAACGACAAGCTCTTGTTCCAGCTTTGTCACAATCGTCAATACTCTGGTCTTACTGTTTCGCACCAGCGTTGTTTGTTGGGCCAGATTATTAAATCACATACTCTCTTTAAAGATCCACCCTAATCATCAAAGTGACCTTGTAATTCTGACAGTCCACCACATTTCCATAGGCCTTCTGCATGCTGAGTTTGTGTCCTGACACCAAAAGGCAGGTGTGTCTCTAACCTGGGTGCTTCTCTCTGATTCTGCTGTCATCAGCGAGTTGGTCCTTATTCCTGGGTACAGCTCACCTCATTCACCCCTGTCGTGGAGCATCCTGATGGCGCTTTTAAAGTATTTTTAGAACACTTTGCCACTCTGAAATGCTGCAAGTCGTAAGGACCTCGTGTGTAATAATAAGATCTCCTAGGCAACAATTAGAGTAAAAAAATCTGTGTCAATTTAGAGTGTTCTAAAACTAATGAAATAAAACCCAGTCTATTTTTAACACATTTTAAAGTTCAATCTTTATTTTTAGCCAACTCTTAAGGGTTTTTAAAAATGAATCTGAGTTAGTAAGTTTTTTGAATAAAACTGAGTTGTCATGTATCATGAATGTATTGGAAAGGTCCCTGGAATATTTTTGGTCAGGCAAACCAGGAGTTCAAGTGTACCCTATTCAACAATCATACCCACAGCCCCAACACATGATCTCCCCATATATATTTCACTAAATACACAAACAGTCTGCACCACCACTCACTGGTAGGGTGTGAAGTTGTATTATTTCAAGTTTCCTGGATTAGTTGGTGCCTCAGATGGTAAAGAATATGCCTGCAGTGCAGAAGACCCAGGTACAGTCCCTGGGCCGGGAAGATCCCCGGCATAGGATACGGCAACCCACTCTAGTATGTTTGCCTGGATAATTCCATGGACAGAGGAGCCCCACAGACTACCGTCGATGGGGTAGCAAAGAGTTGGACTCGACTGAGTGACTAATTCTTCATTAATTATCATAGCCCTCTGGCACCTCCTGGGTGAGCCATGCTAACCTTCTACTTCTGAGCAAGCTATGCCAAGAGACAGTTTATTTGGCCAATTAGGCTCTCCAGAAAAAAAGAATACATAACTTTGTCACTTTTATCCAATGTCTTACTTTCTGTTGTTGTTTAGTCGCTCAGTCATGTCCAACTCTTTGCAACCCCGTGGACTGCAGCACGCCAGCCTTCCCTGTCCTTCATTATCTCCAGGAGTTTGCTCAAATTCATGTCCATTGAGTCGGTGATACTATCTAACCATCTCATTCTCTGTCGCCCTCTTGTTTTGCCCTCAGTCTTTCCCAACACAGGGGTCTTTTCCAATGAGTTGGCTCTTTGCATCAAGTGGCCAAAGTATTGGAGCTTCAGCATCAGTCTTTGCAATGAATATTCAGGGTTGATTTCCTTTAGGATTGACTGGTTTGATCTCCTTGCAGTCCAAGGGGCTCTCAAGAGTCTTCTCCAGTACCACAATTTGAAAGCATCAATTCTTCAGCACACAGACTTCTTTAAGGTCCCCCAAACCCACCCTTTTGTTGATCTTAACTTTCCCTCTTTCATCTCAAACTCCTTTCTCCACATTCCTTCCCCAGTGAAGATGGGAAGTGTCTGACCACAGGTATGGTATTCCATAGTCAGCATCCAAGGGCCATTACTGTCAGCACTAAAGCCTGTTCAGTCCAGTTCAGTGGTCCTTCCTCCTTGGGAAGGGGAGGGATCTTTGAACTGGATCCCTCTTCCTACAACCTTTATGTCTCTCACTGGAAAACTTCAGGAATCCTCTGAAGGAGAGAATACATTTTATTATAGTCTTTGTAATTTCCATTATGCTTAATAACTGCTGCTGCTGCTAAGGTGCTTCAGTCGTGTCTGACTCTGTGCGACCCCATAGACGGCAGCCCACCAGGCTCCCCTATCCCTGGGATTCTCCAGGCGAGAACATTGGAGTGGGTTGCCATTTCCTTCTCTAATGCATGAAAGTGGAAAGTGAAAGTGAACTCACTCAGTCATGTCCGACTCTCAGCAACCCCATGGACTGCAGCCTACCAGTCTCCTCCATACATGAGATTTTCCAGGCAAGAGTACTGGAGTGGGTTGCCATTGCCTTCTCCAGCTTAATAACTGAGTTAGGGTAAATATTGCCTGAATAACTTCCTGACTTAAGGAAGCTGTAGACCATTAGAGAAGACCCTGATGCTGAGAAAGATGGAAGGAGGGAAGAGAAGGGGACAACAGAAGATGAGATGGTTGGATGACATCACTGACTCAATGGACATGAGTTTGAGTAAACTCCGGGAGTTGATAGACAGGGAGGCCTGGCGTGCTGCAGTCTGTGGGGTGGCAAAGAGTTGGACACGACTGAGCATCTGAACGGAACTGAGGCCATTAGAGCAAAAGGCCCACTTTATAGAGAAAAAAATGGGGGGTGCATTGAGTCTGGGGGCTGCCAGCCCACACTAGGAGCTACCCCAAAATTAGGAGCTGGGTCCTGTCATCTCATGGCATGTGTTCAGTCACTAACTGTGGAGAAAAGGACTGGTCTGGCCCCCACCTGTCACCACAACTTCCAGTTTTATTTTTGTCTTTGAGCTTATCAGTGTCCGCTTTTTTCCATTCCGTGGTTGACTGGCCTTCTTCACTGGCACGTAAACTCCAGGAAAACATGGACCTCATAGGCTTGCTGCCAGACCCCCCGAGCCTCGGATAGAGAGGCTTGAGATACATATACTCACCAAAATACTTACTGCTTGGATGATGGGAAGGGGAGAAGTAAAAATGCAAAGTAAATTGTATTTACTTTGAATTTTTCTGATAAAAGTGTTCATTTTTTAATCACTGTAGATATTAATCATATGACCTTGTATTCTGTTTAACCAGCTGTTAGGAACGTGAGTCCTGAAATCATTGCTTGGATTCAGTTCTAGTTCCACTTTGCAAGAACTGTGCAACTTTAGTCAACTTGCTGAACATCTCTGGTGCTTCTGTTTCTGTATTTGAAAGTGTGGATGATAATATAATGTGAATGACATGAGATCACACATCTGCATTAGATTGCCAAAGCTGCCGTAACAAAATACCAGAGGCTGGGTGACTTAAACAACAGAAATGCGATTCCCCGTGGTTTTGGAGGCTGGGAGTCCAGGATCCAGGTGCCAGCAGGGTTGGTTTCTGGTGTGGCTGCCTCTCAGCTTGCAGATGGCTGCTGGCTCCCTGTGACCTCACGTGGCCTTTCTTCCATGCGTGCACAATCCTGGTGTCTCTTCCTCTTTTCACAAGAAAATCAGTCCTGCTGGATCAAGGCCTACCCTTCAGACCTCATTTAACCTCATTACTTCCTTAAAAGCCTCATCTCCAAATACAGTCACATTGGGGGGTTTGGGTTCCACATGTAAATGTGGACCGTCGGTGGGGACAGACGCAATTCTGTCTGTAACAATGTGCAGACTGCACTAGTGGCTGTCATTCCATAAAATCCTTGAGAAATTGTCAACATACCTTTATTGGTAATAATCTCATCGTCATCATCCTCTGTATTTTTTGAAACCCTCAACATGCCTCTTCCTAGCTCAGGCCCCCTTCAGTCTTACGAAAGGACATCGCCGTCCCCTTTCAGCTTCGGGAGTCTTCAGCCCCCCCACGACTGTCTTACCACGTGGGTAACGGGAACCCAGTCCCTCGATGTCTGATTTCATCGCCTTCTCGTCCTTCCCCTCTTGCCCTCTTAGCCTCTGAACACACCGCTTGCTTGTCGTCCTTCTTCCCTTTCCTACAGCATCACCCAGCGGCTGTGTCTGAGAGCCTCGGGAGTAGAACGAACAAACTTTGATTGCCGCAACCCGAGCGAACAGCAAGGGGCCAAGAGCCTCTCATCCTTTGCCAAGTTGTTCGTTTCAGAGATGAGTTTCATAGATTTTCAGCCGTCCTTCCTCATCGCCTGGCTGGTCAGTCCTCATTTTGTACCGCCTCCTGGGTTAGCACCTGAGTTGGGTCATCTGGCAGCAAAATGCTGTCACCAGAGAGGTGCCGTCCCCGACAGCTGCC